CCCCTTCCCTCCCTCCACAGTGTTAGCGTGCGAAAGTAGCAGAAGCCGGTGCCGGGTGGCTAAAAAAAGTTTGTGTTCGCGAACGCAACCATTATTGATAATGGGCCACAGCACCTTTCACGACCCGTTCCAACCCCCACCTCGCGAGTTAGACAATACGCCACACAGCTCGACGCGTGCTCTATCATACGCTCGACACTCAACTTACCTCTTTGGTTTGGTTGGAAAGGGGGTAGGAAGACATGCTTGACAAGCTCCCGCAAGACGTTCTCCACTACATGGCCTTGACCCGGACAGAGCTCTCGACGGCTGACCTGGTTGCCGTGGCAAGTACCTGCAAAACTTTGCGACGCGTGTTGATGGGGACCGAACGCGGTTTGGCCACTCTGCAAGCCACCCTCGGCTGGCTCCCTTGCCTTACCCGCGGCTTGTGGTCAGCGGCGCGCATTGTTTTTGCCCGTTCCTCACATGCTCTCATTGCAGAGAACAAGGCAGTGTGCCAAGAGCTGGATCGTCCGCCCGGCGCCAGCGGTAGTGCGCTCGCTGTGCCGGTGGCAACGACATTGTCATCGTCATCGAACCCGGTTTTTCGCCAGCTCTTCCTCGCGGCTGCTGACAACGTCCCCGAGGCCAAGGCGCTGGTGGAGGAACTTGTGAAGGCGAGTTGGATCTTCGACGTGTACCATGCGCCGCAGCAGCTCGCCATGCCGTTCAAGGTCTTTGGCGGGGCGATGGCGGTGCTGGTCGGTGCGCCTCAGCTGGCTGTGGAGCTGATCGAGGCGTCGGACGAGGCCGGGCGTAGCTCTTGCCTCCTTGCAGGTTGTGATAGCGGCACGACTGTGGTGGTCCGTGAGCTGCTGCATCATGTGCCGGCTTCGGGTGGGTACAAGACCGCGATCTACGCCGATGCCTTGGTGCTGGCGGCCGGCTGCGGTCAGGTCGAGCTTGTGCGCCTGCTGCTCGCAGACGCACACTGCGAGCCGACAGCGACCGGCAGCCGGGCGTTGTGCGCGGCAATCAAGGGCGGACATGCAAACGTCGTTCGGGCATTTCTCCTTGACGGGCGGATCGACCCGGGCGCCGACGACAACGCCGCCATTGTGGAGGCATCGCTGTCGGGCATGCTAGAGATTGTGACGGTACTCTTAGCCGACTCGCGGGTCGATCCGGGAGCAAGCAACAACCGGTCGATGTGCAAAGCCGCAGGTCTCGGCCACAGTCACATTGTGGCTGTGTTTCTCGCTCATGCCGCCGTTGATCCAACCGCTGGCGGGCTCGAAGCGCTGCACGCCGCAGTGGCGGGCGGCCACGCCGCGGTCGTCTCGCTCTTTCTTGCCGACAACCGCATCGACGCTGCAAACTGCAGCAGTCTTCTGACTTTGGCCGTGGCTCGCAACCACGATGCCATCATCAAGCTGCTCCTCACTGCAGGCTGCCGTGTCCCCCGCATGCCTACGCCAGGGCCGGTCTCGACGTCAACTTGACAGCACTTTGCCACCGTTCCTAGCAGGAACCAACGAAGGCGGTGTGTGTATGGGGGAGGGGGGGGGGGG